GAGTGTCGATGAAGCCTTCCTGCACTAGGCCTAAATGAACCAAAGCTCCTCCATGTTTGAACTTTAATCGACCTAACAAGCCAGCAACAGAGAATGGAATGTGTAACAGTCAGTTATCAGTTGCAACACCGCTCAAACCAGTATAAAGCGGTAGTAATAAGGCCTGCATGCTTCTGGCTGAGAGGCAAGATAACAGATCAAAGGGAAAAGGACGAAATAACAGTTCAAAAAAGAGTTGCTAACGAGCTAGACTTATAGCCGCCAAGATGACTTAACTGCTTAAATGTAATTGTTACCTGCTTAATATAATTATTATAGAAGGAGGGAGGGGGAAGGGAAGAGCTTAGTTACAGTAAAGTATAAAAAGAGAAAAAATTGTTTATGTTGGTGTGCTTGATCTGAGATGTGCCAAGTCTCCTTGCACCGCTTTGAGATCTCAAATAAACTTTGATTGCTTCTCCACCCTGGTGTGCTCATTGGCGCGACGCACACCGGGCAACAAACCCCGCTGTTGCTTTCCTCAGGCACTCTGTGCCGGCAATGTGCCGGAAGAGCTAATTCCTGGAAGAGACCAGCAGGAGGCGCCGCAGGGGTGAGTCTGCTCCTCTACAGTCCCACATCTGGAGCAGGCCTGGGAGGGATGTGATTGTGGGGACAGCCCCTCTGAGAGAAACAATGCCTTCCCTGCTCCCCTCTGGTATTGTATATGGGAGTTTGGGGGTGGGGAAGGAGTGCAGTTACTGCTACCTTGAAAAGGATACACTTAGGCCCCAGATTATCCTAAGTATTTAGACACGTAACTCCTATGGGTTAGGTGCCTAAATACCTTTGGGGCTCTGGGCCTTACAACCCCTTGCCAGCAGCTCTCTAAGGCCCTGATCCTGCAGATGCTTGCCCACAGGGGATTAACTTTACTCCTGTGAGTAACTGAAGTCAGTGGGGACATCTCATGACAGCAGAGATCAGAGGGTCACTGAAGAGGATGTTGCCGCTGTTTAACCACACTGTGGAAGGATTGACTGTAACATGAACTGGCTACTTCATTCCCAAGTGGCTCCCCCCCTGCCCCTGCTGTTCCCTGGAA